CCCAGGGCTCCGTCCTAAACCCTCAAAGCCGGGAGGCTCAGCGCTCTTTCTGACAAGAGTGATGAGAGTATTTGTCCCTTCCTGTCGCTCATTCACTCCATACACAGAATGGAGGGGTGCCCCCCATTTCCAGCGCTATGCATTTTTCCCACTCCGACACAAGGCTGTCTAAACAAAGAGGGCCACCCTAAACGCCAGCAGCCTGCCCAGCCCTCCTCACAGCGCACTGACCCCGGAGAGCCAGGCGCCACCTCTGACCAGCCACAGGGCACAAGATTCTGTTTGAAGGCACAGACAGAGCTGGTACTTGTATATGGGGCTTATCTCCCTGTAGGAACTATAAGCTACACAAGGGCAGGAGCTAACTAGTAGGTCTGCTCATCTTGGATCTCCGACGGACTCTCCAAATGCATTACAAGTGGAGAGGCTAAATGAACCTTGGAAACTGAAGTCTAAAAAAGCCAAAACAGGATGAAGAAAAACAAATTCCCTCCATACACCAGAGAAACGATCTGTTTCAGTCAACACAAACCCCAAATAAAAGGCCATAATTCATAGGAACTGCATAGTTTGGTGTGATTCAGGAGGAATGGAAAATTAAAGGATAGGGAATGAACATCAAAAGAAAGTTAATCGGTATTGATTACTGAAAGAAGGCCCAAGGTGTTAGATAACCAAGATTGTGGCCTCTGTACATTGCAATGTAATCTTGGCTGAAGAAAATAACTGAGTGTAAACTGAAGCGAGACAGAAATACAGTAGATCTTGTTTGTAAACACTGACAAAATCAGCTAAAAGTCACAACAGCAGACAAGCTGGCTTTTCTGTTGTTAGCCTTTCGCAGGCAGGTAAAAAGACAATTTACAGTCCCAATACTTGGATGACAGCCGATGGCCTGAAAACTAACCCTGCCACAGTGAAAGCTAAATGGCTTGCTTTAGCATTAAAAGAAAACTCCGCCCAAATGTGATTTCTTTCTCTCCTGGCCCTTGCAACTCTCAATTAAGCAAACTATATAAAATGTAATCCAAAAATTATCACAACTTCCAGGCCAGCATCCAAGCAAGGATGCCCAGCACATGAAAGCATTACCTCAATCAAAAAATATTTAGTGGGGGCCCTTAGGTGTCAGACACTGGGTTGATTATTGGGACACAGTGGTGAAAAAGGTAAGACTTTATCCTTGCCGGATGCCATCGGGGAAGAGATTATAAGTAAGCAAACAAGCCCAGATTGCAGTGTGCTGCGGAAACAAAGGTGTGTCTATGTTAGCGAGGAACAAGGGTGGTCAGGAGAGGCTGCGCAGCAGAGTGTGTTGCAGCAACTGGAGAGTCTGCTGGAGATCCAGGATTTCGACCCTGCTGTCGAAATCTGAAGGAACAGAAGGCATGTGCAGAGCCAGGGCGAGCGCGCTCCAGACAGAAGGAACAGTGGTTCAAAGATCACAAGGCAGGGCAGAAAAGGCCAAGGAGGCCGCGCAAGCAGAGGGGCGTCAGGGTCGGGCAGAGTGGCTGGCAAAGGCGCAGACAGGGCACAGGCCAGCCTCTTGATGACTGAAGGGTATGTTAGGGAAAAAGTGATGTGATTTGCGATTTTAGAGCCAGTCACTGGGGGCCCACTGTGGAAAATAGACTGGAGACACCCCAGAGTGGAAGCCGGAGGGCCTGTTAGGAAGTCAGTCGGGGAAGGAGGGGCCAAGAACAGAGTGGGAGCTCTGACTGTGGAGAGAGGCGGATGCATTCCAATGTATCCTGGAGGTGGGTCTGGGAGCCACTGACAGTCGGAACAGAGCAGGGGCGGGAGGAGTGAGGGAGAAGGAATCCGGGATAACTCTTACCAAGTGGATGGAGGGTGGGACCACAGACTGGGAGGGGGGAGAGAACTGAAAGGAATAGCGAGAGCTCTGCATGTGGTCAAGAGTCAGAGCCCGAAAGCAGCATGGGACTCCTCAGCATGTAGCTGACACATGAAGCCATGGCTGGGGGCAGGTAACATGACCTAGAAGGAGAGTAATGACAGCGGAAGGGGGCCAAGACCAGCCACTCCATCATTCAGAGGTCAGGCGAAGGAGCAAAAGGAACCACGAGGTGGCAAGAAGCTGGGAGGGGAGCTGTTTCAAGAAGCGGGGTGCGGCCACCGGTGAGGAATGCTGTGCAGCAGAGTGAGACAAGGACAGAGTCTGTCAGCCTGCGGGTCCTCCATGACCCCGGCAGTGTCAGTGGAGAAGTGGGAGCAGAAGCCAGGCTGTAGGGTGTGAGGGGTGAGCAAGCGGTGGGCCAAGAAAAGGAACGGAGGCAGGGGCTTTGGACCTACCTTTTGAGATGTGTTCAGGTGAAGCGGGGCAAGGAATTGGACCCGAAGCAGGAGAGGGGAGTTAGATAAGAGAAGCCACTATTTACCCCGGATGGCAGCCACTAGCATGTGGTGGTTTAAACGGGAATGAAATGAAAAATGCAGGTCCTCAGCCACTCCAGCTACATCCCCAGTGCCAGTAGCCACCTATGGAAGCTTGTACTGGACTCTGCAGACACAGAGCATTTCCAGCAGCACAGAGAGTCCTACTGGACGGCACTGAACTCCAGCATGTTGCACACCGATGGGAAAGGGCCTGGAGGGAAGGAGGTGAAAGATGGAGAAACATTTCCCGAGGAGGTGAGCGAGGACGGCAGGGACGGTCTCCTGGGAGGAGTGAGGTTCTGGTAGAATCAGGCAGCAAAGTAGGTGGGAAGGAAAACAGCAGGGCACCTACACAGGGGACCACAGGCAGGGTGGGAGCTGAGGCTGTCCTTGGCCTTGGCTCCTCTTTTGTCACTGAAGAGGGAGGCCAGGTGTGTGTGTGGAGAGGAGAGGGGTCTGAGGAGGGAAGAAGGTATGAAAAAGCTGCCCCAGGGAGCGAGAACACAGGCTGCCCGGGGAAACCATACTCAATGTGGAACACTTCACAGGGGAGGGGCGGGCCGTAGGGAAAAGCTCCTTACGCGGGGAGAGGCAAACTCAGATTTGTTTCTTAAGTCCTGGTCGTGTCTACAGGTACAGCTGCGACAAGGCTGTAGGACCATTAAGAAGTATCCTACTGGCTGCCCTTTCCTGGTTCTTCCTCCTCCATCCCACTCAACTCTCAGAAAGGATGACATTGGTTCTATTTTCGGTTAAAATGGCTCCCTCCACCCGCCTCTGTCTAAACTGCTTATCCAGCCCTAGCTCCATCTCATTTTACAACAATGGCTTGTGCATTCCCATAAATTATAGAAGAAGTGGGTATATTAAAAATGGCAGAAGTAGGTAGGAGTTACAAACCAGCCCTTCCTTACCTATGAGAAGTGAGTAATAGATATTTATGGATGATGTTAAAATTACATGAAAGACATATTCCATGTTTAAACAAAATCCCCAAGGTACTCCTCCCTGCTTCTCCACAAACAAAAATTATTTTCTGACATTTTCCTTAAGCTTTTGTGAGTAAACATTTTCATTTCCACAGAACGATTGGACCTCAGCCAGTCTGAGTTTCAATATTTGTTTTTGATCACCCAAGTGTATTGGCTTGGTTTTGGGTTGGCTGCGGGGTTGGTGGGGGCGGGGGTGGGGGGGGGCCGAGAGCAGGAAGTTAAAATGACCAGATCCCTTTATCTTCCACCTTGAGATCTAAACTTGCCAACTCCTCCTTCGCATACATTTTTTCTGAAGTATGAAACCTGAGAGCCACAAAGGTTCCCACTGCCCAAAGAGCAGCCCGTTCATAGCCTACCAAGAGTAAGTCTGGAAATGCTACAGTCAGTCTGTTTCCCAGCCGGGTACCCCTGGTCAAAGCTCCCAGTTTCTGTACACGTGAAACCTCTTTGTCTTAACCACATCTCCTGGCCCGACTCTCCCCCGGTCCTGTTCATGTTGGTCCAGAGCCCTCACACTTCCCTTCCTCAGAACTCCTCTTGGCCTGCCTCTGGTTCTTCCAAGCACTTTGCAGACCCCCCAGATGAAGTTCACTAGGTGGAAGGGCTCCCGAAACTTTTCTAGAGCAAGACGCAACGCGGCCACTGACCCACAGGAGCTGGATCCAGCTCACAGGACAATCTGGCTCCTTCCCACTCCTCACCTATCCCACACAGGGAAGCGAGATCTCCAGACCCACCCAGCACACATCTTTGAGACATGACAAGGGCTGCAGGGAGGACACTAAGCTCAGCAGCAGGGCACCCAGGTTGAGAACTGCTAGTTCACCTGCAAACCCACCCCCACTGTCAGGCTGTGGCTTCCCCTCTGCCCAGGCACAGCGTCCCTCTACAAATGCTCGCCAGCTGCCCAACAACCCAGGGAAGCTCCCCGTCCACGTCAGGCCTTGGTTTCCCCATCTGTGAAGTGGGCATGATAGCTTTCCCTGCATACTGACGGCATATCCTCGAAGTGCACTTCCCTCGGGTGAGCCAACGTTAGGAGGTGACTGCCGTGAGCACAGCGGCTCCTGGCTCACAGCGCCTACCGCTCCGAGAGCAGCCAGGAGCAACCGACCCTGCTTTTGAAATTACCTTCTACGCTCTGAAGCATTAGTCACATCGACAGAGTATTTCAACTTCGCTTCCGAGCATCTCCCCGCTTGTTTCAGAGACAGAAGCCTCCCCTAGCTGCTCAGACGGCCATCATCCTGGTCACCTCAAAGTCCACCCTCCCTGCGCTGGGGGGTTATTATCATTTCCTTTCCAGGAAAACTTGGATTTGCATTCTGTTCGGAATAAGCCCAATGGTGGAGGAGGACAAACTGCTCCCAACACTCGCAGACACAGGCCCTGGAGTTGACCGCGCCCGGGAGCGAGGGGGCCGCCGCATGGCCGAGGCTGCGAAGCCGGCCAGGCGCCTGTCCCCGCGCGGGGGCCAGGCGGCGTGGAGAGAAGGGCCGCGGGCTGGGGCGGTGGGCGCGGGGCCGGCGGCGCGCTCGCCCCAGGCTCGGGGGCTCTGAGACGAGGCGGGGGGCGGCCCGCAGCCCTTCGGCGCAGGGGCTCACTCACCCCATCTCCGGCGCTCTCCCGTGGCTGCTCCGAGGCGGCCTCTCGCACTCGCTGTCCGCCCGCTCGGCAGCTGCTCCCCGTGAAGCACATGCGGCGGCCCATGCGCGCCCGGCTCAGCCCCGGCGCTGCTCCATTCCGCGGGCTGTGCTGCCACTGCCGCCGCCGCCGCCGCCGCCGCCGCCGCCGCCGCCGCCGCGCGGGCAGGCAGGCGGGGGGGGGGGGGGGGGGCTGGGCCACCGGGGGCAGGGCAGCCGCGCGTTGGGGCGGTGCCCGCCCCGCCCCACTCCTTACGTAACCTCGTGGCCCCCAGGCCGCGAGCCCAGCCGGGGTGGCGGGGTCTGCCAGTGCCCGGTGGCCGCGGCCCCGCAGGCAGACCCCCACCCTTTGCGATCCAGCGACTGTGCGCCCCCGCCGCACGCCTACTGGGGGCTCCGCGCAGGGCGAGCATCCTGCCTGTCTGCCTTGCCTGAGTCTCATTCCCAGCTGGAAGGGGACTTTGAGCCTCCCCTGCTTAGTTTGCATGTGAGGGCACAGAGAGGCCCCAGAAGGGGGAGTGATTTGTCCAAGGTCACACATTCAAATCAGTGCTGGGATCTTCAGAGTAGAGCTGGGAACGGCCATGCTCCTCGAAGCCCCCTTCTCTCTGTCCCCGGCCAGGATGGGTGGCTCAGGGGACCGGCAGAAGCCCCCGTGGCAGGAAGGATCCTGACCCGCAGCAGGTGTACTGGGCTCTTCCTTGAGAGAAGATGGGATGAGGGCTCTCCACTGGAGGGTAATTCATTGCTTTTGTGGTTTGATCAAGCTTCTCCTTGTTCTTAGAGGAAGGGAAACTGAGATGACCAAAGTGGAACTATAAGCAGAGCAGTCTCCTGATCGCTTCCGCACACCGGGTCCTTGTTCCCTGTTAAAGGCTGGCGCTGGGACCAGCCCCACCTTTGACCGCCCTCAGGGCCTTCCGCACGATTATCTTCTGCTGAGGGCACACTGCCCACAGGAGCCTGGCATCTCAGGACGGTGAAAAGTCAAGGGACAAGCGAATGGAGCAGGGCCACCCCTACTGCATGCTTATCATGGCTGCGACCACAACTTTACCTGCTGACCGCTGAAGTTTTGGGGGGCAGGCACCAAGAATTGGCCGGTCATTTTCACAATTACAAATCTGATCATGTCATTCCTCTAAAAACCCTTTGGTGTCTTTTTTCCCACTGTCCTTGGGATGACGACCGAGATGCTCAGCATGTGTGGAAGGCCCTGCCCCACTGAGGTGCCACTGTCCTCTCGAGCCTTTCTCCGCCTGCCCCCCCCCCCCCCCCCCAGTTTCCGCCTTGCTTTCTGCACTCTAGCCAACTGGCCGGCCTCCCTTCAGCCCCAGGGCCTTTGCACAGGCTTTTCTATAAGAATGAATTAGTGACTAGGCCAGGCCACAAGCACACAAAATTGGCCTGGGCCTGTAAGGCCCAAGTTTAGAGCCAGAGATGGGTGAGCACTTGGTCCTGGAGGTAACCTGTCTATCACCAGCTGAATTCCGAAGACCAGGGAGGGCCCCTGGCAGTGGCAAAGGGGATAAAGGGCAGGAGCCAGCTCAGCTGCCGTAGGGGTCCCAGAGGACAGATGCACAGTGCAGCGGGGCCAAGTGGTTTCCAAACTCTGAAGAGGAGTGTCCTTGGCTCCACTGTTGTGAAGGGCACACCCGCGTTACCTTGGGAAGATGCAGTGATGCCACACAGGTGGGGCTGGTGAATCACTGGGCTGCTTCACACAGTCAGTGAAAAGCAGGGCAATACAGGAGGTGTGAGCCCATGTGGGGTGAAATACTCCGTGATAAAGTGGCTGTCACTCTGGGTAAAGGCTCTCGCACCGAAGTGAGGAGAGGAAAGGGTAGATCAGACGAGGTTTGGAAATGGATGGCCCTCCCGTCCCTTATGAGGAACGGCCTCCATTTCTCTCCTTCAACCCCAACCTCAGGCGCAGGAGCTGTCCCAACGCCCAGAGCCTTGCCTAAGCCTCAGAGTTGGCCTTTAACATCACCTTGGAATCGTCCCTACAGAGGGGACACCTAACTTCCCTATCAGTGTCTCCCCCTTCATTGAAGCCAACACAGTTACCCTTTTTTCTATGGAAAATTTCCCATCAACATGGTCTCCACGGCCCCAGTTGTCAGGGAGATGACGTCTTTCAAAAGGCCTGAAGTGAAGCGGGGCAGGGGGTGGGATGGGGGAAGGGGGAGAAATTCCTTGTCGGTTGGAGGTTAAGGCAAAGCCAAGGAGAGTCTTTTTGGGCCAAGTCTTGAGTGTCCTTTTAGGCTGAACAAGAAAAGCCAGTGAGGGGGGCAAGATGTGGGAAAGAAGGGTGGGTCCTGGGGGAAGGGAGGAGTGAGCCTTAGAGTGGGGAGAGGGGCACAGCGGGGCAGGCATGTGAGGCTGAGGGAACTTGCCAGGCAGGCTACTTTTTCTAAAGGGGACAGGGACACCTACCGAACATGCATGAGAGAGAGGAGGTGGGGTGGAAGCCCGATTTGAAACAGCAGCCTTGGGAAGGTATAAGCACTGTTGTTTGGATGGATCCAGAGTTCCGAATGAGCAGGGCAGAGATGCCCCCAAAAGTCTGGGAGACTGGACCTTGATCAGCACCAGCTCGGGGACTCGGGATCCCTGCTGTCTCCTGTGGGCAGCAGAGGCTCCCAGAATCCAAGCCCAGCCAGTCCTTCTGAAGGACAGTCTGCACTCGGACTGGCAGTCAGAGAGCTGTGGCGGCTCACCAGGGCGCTCCATACGCCTGAGAAACAAAGGGAATGGGAGGCAGCTCCACGCGGCCCTCCCCTGGACTGCCAACTGACCCCCTCCACCCCAGCATCCCGGGCAGAAAAGCACTGTGCACCCCCCGCGTCACACAGGGAGACGTTGCATCTCTGCCTCCCGGCTCTCAACCGCTAGTGCCTAGAGAAACAGCTGGTCTTAGTCTGGGGCAGGGGAAATACAAAAGGAGCTTAGAGCATGTTGTGATACCAGAAAGTTGGGCAGTGCTCAAAAAAAACCCGAAAGGACAGGGTGTGTCCTAGGGACACAGGAGCCGACGACAAGAGCTCCTGGTGGCCAAAGGTGGATGGAGCATGTGCGCAACATGGTAAATAACCCCGTTCAGAATTATAACACAGAATATAAAATAAATACACCCAAGTCCATACTGATAAAAGTTTTAAATAAGGAGAGAAGAGTCTAATCTTCCCTTCAGAGGAATTCCAAATAATACGTGTAGATTTTCCCTCCAGGTGGAATTTAATATCCTCGTTCTCCCACCCCTTGAGAGTAGGTTGGTCTGAGTGTCTTAGTGATTTGCTTCTAAAGAACAGAATACGCAACGAGGAAAATTATAACTTTACAGTGGAGAAACGTGGCAGACGCCCCCCTGACCAAGTGACCAAGGGAAACATCACCAGACGTAAGCCATGCTGGTAGCACACACCCTCCGACAGGATGCGATGAGACGTGAACTTCGTCTCTCTGACATTTTTTTCCCTAAACCCATAACACAAGTCTAATCATGAGAAACACACCAGACAAATCTATACTGAAGAACATTCTGCAAAACACCTGACCAGTACTCCTCCGAGCTGTCCAAGTCACGAAAAACAAGGGAAGGCTGAAAAACGGTAGCAGACCAGAGGAGACTAAGGTGGAATGACAAAATGCATGTAGGATCATGGATTTGTCCTAAAAGAGAAGAAGGAAAAACTGGTAAACTTCCACTGAAGTCTGGCATTTAGTTCAGAGCGATGTGCCAATGTTGGCTCCTTACGCGTGCCACATGGTTAGGAAGATGTCAACCATGTGCAGGGTGTACGAGAACTCTGCATTATCCTTGCAGCTTTTCTGTAAATCTAAATTGGTCCAAAATAAAAAGTTTAACAAAAAAGAAAGTAGTCCTTGGAGTCTCCTGTCTACCAAACTCTCCAAGCAATCTAGTTATTGGTGACGTCAGAAAGGTAGGCATGTGGAAACCCTGAACAGTAGACTTATCAGGTGACATTTGGGACTTGAAACTGTTTTCCTAACTCAAAGCAAGCCACCAAAACCTGTGCCTCTCCATTTTTTAGCTGCAACCCACAGTATGAAATATATTTTCCACAGCAACCCTGCACATACTTCAACTTTATCTATAGTCACAGCTATATAAAATGGAAACAAAGTTATATATACATAAGTGAAAGTTTTACAAAATAATCCTTATCCTCTCACCTACAAAGCATTCTAAGAGTTTTCATTTTGTTCTATTTTTAAAAACTGTGCTGCTCACAACCCACTAAATTGATTTCAGAACCTATCATCTATATATTTTTTCTTTCAACAGCAAAATGAGACTCACCATGTCCACATACAATGTTATTATTACTTTGTTCAGACTTCTGATACTGCGGATCTGAGACTTTGAACATTTTTTTCTTTGGACCATAAGAGCTTAGTTCTTTACAGTGCGTATGTCATTAAAGTCATTAATTAAATGAATAACTAGCAGGTATTATGCAGCTATTAAGACAGTAACCAAAAAACATGTATTCTTTCAACAAATACTGATCACCTACCATGTATCTGGCTGGTCTTGTGCTGGGCACTAGGGATAAAGTGCACAGCAAAAACAGAGTTTTTCCATCAAGGAACTATGAAATTGGGTGAAATGCATTAATCAAGTAATCACACAAATATACAAACTATGATCTGTGTGAATAAGAGTCCTAATTTAGGCTGAGAGGGGTGGTGAGTAATGGCCTCTTTGAAGAAACATCTAAGAAGAGGCCTGAAGAACGAAGAGTCATTAGCCAGACAGAGTGGGGAGGAAAAAGGTCCTGGGCAGAGGAAACCGAGAGAGGCTGAGGTGGCTGAGCGCCGAGCAGGAGCAGTCGGGAGGAAGTGGGAGGAGGTCAGAGCCCAGCCGGGCAGGGGGTAACGGTGGGGGGGGGGGGGTACGCAGGCCCCCTGAGGCCAGTTAGGGATTTGGGATTTATCCAGATGTGCTGACAGAATCCCCTCAGCTCCCCAGAGGATTCTCATGCAAGGTCAAGGTTGAGAATCACTGCACGAGCTCACAGTGCCAGGGAGAAGTACCTGTCAGCCCCAGAGCCCCAGAATTTGGGAACTGGTAGGAACAAAAAAGCGCACACCCTAGCTCACTGGCTAGACTTTCTTCAGACTTTGGGCTCCAGGCGGGAACTAAGAAACCTCAGGAATCTGTGGGGCCAACGAGGACCAGTACCTCCTCCGGGCACAGGGCAGAAGGAGTTAATCCTAAAGCCTGCTAGCTCTTCCTGAGAGGGACTAGGGTTGCATGCATTCCCCGCCCCTGATGGGTGGCAGCAGCTGAGGAGATAGGTGCCTGTTTGTATTTCGGGAGTAGCTAGGATGAGGCAGGTCAGATGGGTGAGGAGAGATTCCAGAGCCATATCGGAGGCATGCTCGTCAAGACAGGATGAGTTAAAGAGGTGGTAAAGTCACGTGTGGCACTGAGGCTTCCAGCTGGAGAGGCTAAACAGACAGTGATGCCCCTAAGGACGGATGGAATCCCAGAGGGAGAACAATGGCAACTCACAGAGGAGAGAAGACGCGTGCCAGTTCTGGACATGCTGAGGGGCGGGAATCTGAGGAACAAAGAAGAGGAGATGTCCAGCAGGCAGGTGGCCATGGCAGGTACAGAGCTTGGAAGGGAGGCTTGGGAGCCTTTGGCAAGAGAACACCCAACCCAGGAGGAGCGTGTTGAAGGAGCGGAGGTCGGGCTGAGGGAGGCACAGATGGACTCTGCAGGGGAGGAAAGGGACCGGTGAGGACGAAGGAGTGGTCCTCAGCGCACAGGGGCCTTCCTATTCTAGATGTGATCCACCAACCCCCTTTTGGCTTCTTTAGTGGAATCAAACATATTCCTTTTAAAAAAGGAAGTAACTCTTCACCAGAAAACTAAAAGCAAAACAAAAAACAAACAAAAAGCAAATCACACAAAATAGGAACAAGTGGGTTTTCAATTCATTTCAATGGAGCAAATATTTACTGAACGCCTACTACGTGCCAGACTAGCCCCAGATGGCCTGGCTGGCACGGGTGGCTTATCAGACACACAGCCCGCGCCTACTCTCCTCCTGAGCCCCATCTGGGAGGTCATGGTGGCTCTGGTTTCCAGCATCTTTGCCTCCCATGAAGCTCAGCTCATCCACCAGTTGTCCTAAGTGAGGTCCCCCCGCAAAGCTGGGGTCCTTGTGGCAGGAACAGCTCTCCTGGACACCGCCTGCCTCACGGCAGCTGCCCAGCGGGGTTTTGGCCGTCTGCGCCACAAAGCCCTTGCCTGCGCTGCCCCGCCGCGCGCCTCCAGCTCTTCCCCAGCTCCCGTGCAGGCCGAGATGCGTGACCTGGCAGTGTGCCCACCTTCTCGGGCCATGTCTAACCATCTCCAGCAGCTCGCTCCTCAGGGGTGTCTAGGGCTTCCCTTCTGAAACGACAGAGGGGTAATACCAGGACCGTTCGCACAAAATCACTTTGAATCAAGACCTGTCTACTCACTCAGCGCAAGAGGCCTCCCCGTCAGCACCCACCAGGGAGACTGCTCCTACCGCCATTTCCTTTGTGACTCCGGACCCTCAGGCCCCCAGCAAACACTGCCACACCCAGGCTGGTGTGTAGTGTGAGGGCTGTCCCTTCAGTAGGCTCCTCCCCTTAGAAATTCACTTTTTATTACACATGATCTACCCTGCTCTGGGCACATGCATCTCTTTCATTTGCATAATTCTCTAAACTGCCAATTCTTGCCCTACAGCATGACAGTTGTACAGGTATTTGGTTTACTTTACTCAAGTATCCCATTAAATTCACGGGCTTCTTTACATTTGCTGCTTTATCCCTTCGCAGATGTCTTCTTCTGTTGGTTTTCGAGCGCACTGTCTCCTGAACAAGTTGGGTTTTCTCCTCATTGTGGACACACATACATAACACTTACCATTTTACTCATTTTTGAGTACAGTTCAGTGGAATTAAGTACATCCGCAGTGTTGTGCTACCATCATCACCAACCATCTCCAGAACTTTCCTGTTATCCCAGATCTGAGCAAGTTACTCAATGCTGAGAGGGTAGGGGCATGTTCCATTTACTTTTTATACCTTATTCTGCACATAGTCTGTGCCTGATAAATGCCCTGGACTAACTGGAGCAGATAGAGAGGTTTAACAGAAAAGACACCAAACCAGCACCAACAGCCCACCCAACTGCCCCTTCTAAAATTACTTCTTACTACAACAAGATGGGGAAGGCCGACCCAAGAAAAGAAGAAAACACATACATACTCATTCTAGCTGTCCAACATCTGGCTACGACCTGCCCTGGACTAGGGGTCCAGGGCCGTGAAGAGGATGACGATGAGGCCCTTGTCCCTTCTGAGACAACCTGAGACTCTTGCAGACCCCAAGTTGTACCAAAACACCAAAGTGACGGGAAACAAAAGCTCCTGGAGGCGTGGACTGCGCCCATTGCTGCTGCGTAAGGTCCCGTGAACAACTAGAGTGGTGCTCCCCCAAGCTGGCCCCCTCGCATAGCTCACGCGGGGCATTTATTACACAAGCTGATTCAGCCCTCCTGGGGCAGGTATGGGAATCTGCCTGTGTAGTAAGAGCCTCCAAATGATTCTTGCCTATGAAAGGCAAATTTGCGACAAAATAAACTAGAGCATTCCAACAGCGAGGGGGGCCAACCCAGCCACCTGGGGCTACGCAGGAAAAGGCTCCCAGGAGCTAGTCGGACCACTGGGCTGCTTTCCCAAACCAAGACTCCCGTGGGCCTGCTGCCTCTGCACACTCCCTCCTCCAGCACCCTCCACACAGGGCTATACACAGCCTCTTACCTCTACCTCTACGGCCGAAGGCCTTGGATGACCCCAAGTTCTGGCAGCCCTGGCCCCTGGCTCGGTTCCCCACAGTTGAGGAATGACAATGAGATATAGTCCTAATTTAGAACAAACGAGCCAGGTGTTCATTGGCCAGGTATTAATCAGGGAATGACTAGAGATAGCTGGTGACATCATATTCTACCTTTAGATCCCGCTGGGTCATTGTATGGAAATAAGTTGGGAAGGTTGTATCTACCAAATCTGCGGTCCGTGTTTACGGAGGGAGACACTGGATACCAACTCTGCCCTGGGAGCTGAAATTTCACCTTGGGGCCCTTCTGATACAAGCCCGCCGAGTGGGCCCTGGGAGGCGTCTTCAGCCTCCACACAGCTGCCCCCTCCCCACAACCACCCAGGGTACAGGGATCAGAGAGCGTCCTGGCAACACAGGCTGGACATTCAGTGTCTCCTTTTAATAAAGCCAGTATGTTTGTGTTTTAACGAAATGCAATTGCTAAAACAGCTCTTTATTTATCTGTACTCCAGAAAGTTTACACAGAGCAGTGTTTCCTTGGGATGTCAACAGGTGGTGCGCAGCAGGAAAAGGTTCCATACTCCAGAGATTGGGAAACACTGGGATAAACAAAATGAAACAGGTGTCTTTACTATTTTTTAAAGCACCTCTTGTATATCAATGTAGACTTAAGAAACTCCAGTAAGTAAACACAACCGACTCTATTTCCTAAGTTAAATGAATTTATTAGCAATGAAATTTTAAGTACTTTTCCAGAGGACACATTCTGGGAAATGATGAACGAAAGGATCCTATTATCCAGAGCCAATTTGACATATAAGAAATAAGCACCTGCTACTTTGCTTGCTCTCAGGTGAATATCGCCTCCCTACTTGAGATTTTTATTCTCTGTAACCACAAAAATCACTTCTGAGGGTTAAACAGTAGAACGTGGCAGGGAGCAGGCCATCGGGATTCTCAGCTGGGCTCCCCCACTTATTAGCCTCAGGGGTGTTTTCCCACTTCCTGTGCCCCAAGTTCCCCCGGGTATCATGGGCGACACCAGCACCTCTTCTCGAAGGCTGCAGTGGGACTAGATAAAGGTGCACAGGGAGCCGTTGTGTAATTACGGGAAGCAACACAGGCATCGTCCTCCTGGCCGCCTCGGGGCTCGGCTGCCCATCAGATCCACCGGTGCTCACCTCGGAGGGTGCAGCGCACTTGGCACTGGGAGTAGAGTTGGATTGGGGGACCAAAAGGGGGTAAGAATAAAGTGATGAGAGCCATTGTGCTAAAGCTAGAGGACCTGGGAGGCCCCATAGGGGTACAGGCCAGGGCGATGGGGCCAGGATGAAGGGTGCGGCTCACTGAAACACGGTGAGGAAGAGGAAGGGGAACTGACGTTTGTTAACCCTTATAATCGTAATGTGGGAGGTACAAAATCATCATTATAACCTCATTTTAGAAGTGAGAAAAAGGCGCCCCTACCTGGCTACGGCACTCAGGTTAGTGTGCGTCCAAAGCCAACGCCCTCCCCACCTAGCGGCGCGGAAGATCCCTGCAGAGCAAAGCCCCCCTGCTGTGGGAGGAAGAGGGTGCTTACCTCCCGCGGAGGAAGGCAGGGTTGGCCCTCCCCAGTGTCTAACTGGGTACGGTGAAGTCCAAAGAGACACGCATTTCCCCAACGGAGCTGGGACCACCCTCATTCCAAATGTGACAGAGGTGATATTGCACAGGGGTCCCTGGGGGAACGTGCAAGAGAAGAGGAGCAAAGAGCCCTGCGACTTGGCCTAAGGGAAACGGAGCAGCCACCGAGTCTCTGAAGGGTACTCAGCAGAAAAATGGCCATTCCCCATCCTCCCCATCCAAAACCCAGATTCCCCACAGAGTCGTACTTCTGGCCGTATGTGTGTGGTGTGCCTGTTGGAGATTCGCCACCTTCAGTGAATTTCTCCTGGTTAATGTCACTTTGCTCTGTTTTTTTTTCCCCCTCACTTTGAAGTCTCTCAACATGTAGATTGGAATTACCTTTTTCTACACTCCATTAGTTTACTATGTAATATCTTCTATCATGCATACACTATATTGTAAATATCTTCCGTTTGACTCTTTGAGTAGACCTTAAAATTTGTGTTCCACATATTTTTAATTCTCTCTGCTCTCCCAACGTGAAGCCTAGATATACACTGGATATTGATAAATTACTTGTGATGTGAAAAAATAAGTAAGGTCACAAATCCTAAGAGAGTCTTTAGATTAGGGTTTTCTCTAGAATTTTATGTGAACAGAAATAAAATAAATGACTAAGCTTTGTGTTTGCTTGATGAAAATGAGCAAATTAAAGTGAAGTGCTAATGGGAAAAAAGCAATTTTTGCTGCAGAGAAATAATGTGCTTTCAGCTCATTTCTAGCCAGTTTAGTCACAGGGAGGCTGTCAAACGCCCTTCCGAGAAGCTCGCCGGCACATGTGTCACGGAAGGGAACATATGGAAGCCACCATCGGGTGCAAAGGGGGTGCCTGCGACAACTTGGACCCACTCACTGCCAATGTTCCCAATCATTCTGGAGGATTCACCTTCATCTGACTCACTCTCTTAAATGTTTACCTTTCCACTTGCCAACTGTTTGAATTGGTGTTCTGATCATTTACTGGGAGAGAACTTCTAGATTATGTCACAATTTTTGGAACCTGAAATCTTCCAGTTTTGGAGTTGGAGAACTTAGAAATCAGCAAGTCTAACGCCTTCATTCGTATGTTCACGAGTGCTTTTTCACTGCCTTGGGTGTGGCGGCCCCAGTGCCATGTGCTAGAGATGCAAAGACATCACACAAAGTCCCTGGCTTCCTGGCACTTACATTTCACCAGGAAGATGGACATGAAAACTGATGGATTCAATAAAGTGGCACCATGATAAGGGGGTGTCCAGGGAACGCAGATGCCATGCACAGGAGGGGAGCTGAGTCCGTGTGGCTGAGTGTTTACTCAGTGGAAACGATTAGTCAAATATGAAACCGGAGAGGAAGGCAGAGGTGCCAGATCAATAAACATTTACTGAGCACCAACTACACATTATGTTGCCAGACTACGCTAATTGCTGAAGAGGTGAAAGTCACAGCCTTACTCTCAAGGGGTTTATAATTTAGGTGGATGTAAACAAATTACAACACATTGTGATAAATATGTGACTATATATGTTAAAGATAGAAAGGAAAAAAATAATCATTTTTAATTGGAGTTGGGGACAAAGAGAGGGGTGGATTATGGAAGGCCACAAGAAGATGACACAATAGGCTAAGATTTACCAAGTGGACGGGCGTGGGGAGGACACCGCACACAGAAGGAATAGCATGTATGTGGCACAACATGGACTCTTCCAGGAACTTGAAACACTTCGATATGGCTGCGCATTTAGTTAGGGAAGGTGGCAGATGGGGCTGAACAGATAGGGCAGAACTAAATCTTAACAGGCTGTAATTCTACACTGAGGAGTTTAAGAATGTATCCTAGAAGCAATTAGGAACCACTGAAAGGTGGGCAAATCAAGGCATAGATACAACCGAGTTTGTGTTTTCAGAAGAACCTACTTTGAGCTGTCTGGTAGATACACAAGAACTGGCGATATTATTATTATTATTTTTTTTTTTGTTCTATATGTTTCATAACAATTAAAGAAGAGCGCTCTACTAGCAGGATGGAGGAGAGTCTGGAGGGGAGCAATGCTGGCTACAGGGACCAGGTAAAGCCTATCACCGTGGTCTGTATGAGAAGGCATGAGTCAGAACTAAGAGTGGCGAAAGGAAAGGAGAGGGGTGGACACAGAAGAAATGGTCAGGCGCTCAAGGGCACAGGCCTGGGGGAAGGACTGGGTGTGCGAGAGGAGTCCAGGATCACTGCCAGGTCTCTGGTGTAGGTAATGAGGAGGAGGCATTCCTCAAAAACGGAGACAGAGGTGGATGAACAGGTTCAGGAAGAAAGATGAACTCACATGACATGAGCTAAAGATGCCTATCGGACATACAGATAGAAATTTCTAGAGGCAGGAGTATTATGAGTCTAAAGTTCAGATATCATGGATGGCTATGGTCATCAGCACAGAACTGGATGCCAAAAAAGAGACTGAGTCTGCACAGGTAACATAAGGAGGGTACAGACAAGGCCATGGGGACACCAACGTTGAGGGACAAGCAGGGGAACGAGGAGCTGGCCAAAGAGACAGAGACAGAGAGGAAACAGTGTCCCAGGGCAGAGGAGAATCACGAAAAACCTGGAAACAAAGTGAGAAGAAGGTTTAAGGGAGGAAGGAGGTAAGTGTCAAATGCTGCACAGATATTAAATAAACCAAAGATTTTAGACAAACAGTCATTGCATTTGGCCCTAGGTCAACAGTCCTAGTGAACATTGCCAGAGTGGTTTCAGTGGCGTGTCTGGGGGCAGAAACAAGGCTGCAGTGAATAGGAAGGGGGCGGGGACACTGTAATACCGCAGGTGTAGAGTGCTCTTTGTAAGAGACTCCCCTTGTGGAGAAAGGAGAGCCTAGATATTTAGAGGAGGACAGGGGATTGAGGGCAGGGTATCGGTTTTGCTTTGAGACTGGAGAAACTTGAGCAAGCTTACAGGTGGGTGAGGGGGTGGGAGGAGCCAGGAAAGGGGGAGAGTTTGAAACAGAGAAGGGAGAAGGAATAACTGCAGGAGGAAAGCCCGGAAGAGCAGTGAATGCACAGACCAAAGTCACACAGCAGCAATATCGAAAGACAAAAGGTAAAAAGCGGGGCATAAAGAGGTCAAACTGTAGGTATGGCATTGGGAAACCGAGGGAATTAATGCTGAAGTCTCAGTTTTATCTGTGAAATCAGACACTACGTGAAAAAACAAAAGCCCAGCGAGGTGACTTGCATAACTGTTGGTTTGTAAATTGGCTCCTGCGGTGAGAGCTAGGGGAGCTGAAGATAGAGGCACAGCACACCATACCGGTGCTGGTTTTATTAGGCAAGGCGGCTGACTTCTGAGGCTTGTCTTGGGCAAGTTGTAAGATGAGCAGATCTCTGCACCACTCACACGAATCTTAAAAGTTTGTACAGAGGTTCAGTTCAGATGGTCTCAACAACACTCCACTCTCTCATGGCTGCACCCTTGAAAACAGACAGTGGGGACCGTGGTCAAAACATATATTCCAAGGACAGGGGACAGGCTGAGGAGCCTCAGATTACGCAGGTCCCGCTCTCTCGTGTCGGCCGTTGGCCTCATCCTCTCAAAGGCCCCCTCTGACAGTGACCCACAGGGTATAAGCCAAGCATCTTGCCTCCTTGTCCGGTACTCTTTCTATTCCCTATGTCACACTCACGTATGTGGAAATACTTCCATCATCTGGACACCTGTTTTAAAATGGGGCTTTCTGTACTTTTCTTTTAAATGATGACTAGGCAAGGCTGGCCTCACACGAATGTGGATCAGGCCACCTGTCACCAAGGACGATAAACTTGCCAAAACCCTGGGCTGAAACCCAGAAGATTTACCCTCTTAGAACGAGGGAAAGGTCAGAAGCTCACCCTCAGATAAGAATCCTGACCTGGCCATTTTCAAGTGCTTAGAAAATGCGTTTTAACACTCAAACTGTGATGATCACTTCAACGAAAAAGATTCTGGAAAGTTAACCTGGAGAAAAGATGAAGGCAGTATGGGGGAAGGAGTGGTTGAGAGTAAATTCTGGATGAATCTCTTGGCCTCTCTGTGCATTTCCAAGGTCCCGTCTAAGTGTAACACACACATTTGATGAAGAGTTGGGTAGGACCAAGGTACTGAAGGAGTAGATTACTAGAGCTAGCCGACGGAGCATGCAAAGCAGCCACAAAAAGTGAAGGAAGGATACTAAGGATTAGCGTCATCACTTGGCTTTGGATGAGCCCTGTCAAATGACACAGAAATAGGCAGACATTGTATAACGCAAGTCCCAATCACTTCTACTTAGAAAACATAGTTTGTGCCATTATTTATGTAACGAACAGTAGAAAAAAGGAGAGGAAAATACTTTCATATCACAATCATAAATTTTAGAATTGGAAAAGACTTTGATTCCAACCGATTAAGCCTGATTCACAACTTTTTCTTCCCCAAGGTTGCTCATCTTTCCTTCTTCTATGATTTCTTCTATGATATCAGTTGGCTTCTATGGTAAACAGTAATACTCAGGTAGCAAAGAAACTTGTAACTAGCATTGGCTTGCTCTCCACACTCTCCTGAAAAAAGTCCCCTACACAAAGAACTCCTTATGGGGGAGGATGACACTGAGGCAGAGAACTGGATGAAAATCTTGTAATCTCTGATCAAAACAACTGCATGTAATTACAGCCATGGGAGTACAGATGTGATTCTAAACAATGTCTCATATAACTTGAAATGTTTTCTTAGAGACTAGATATTTATGTAACATATAATAACTCTATCATTAGCATTCACATAGCATCTTTCTTCACTTGATCCTAACATACTTTATCTATGCAATAATTAATTCTTATAATAAATATAACCTTACAAAGCTGAGAAGTAGCAAGGATTTTTACTCCCATTTTGCAGAAGATAAAATCAGGGAGATGGGTACCTTGTGGGGTTCACTTCCCGGTGGAGAGGCTGCAGGGGCAGAGCTCCTGCCTTCTGGGGGTCCACAGCAACCGTGCAGAAGAGCCTGGGCTGTGCAGCAGCAGCAAAGTTGTTTAACGTGGCTAAAGATTTGTGGAGTCGGAAATGAAAAGGAGAAAACAGTGTTTCACTGAGAAAAATGCAAGGCGTTTTTTGAAGTATCACAGACTTGATCAAAATCCTGCTGCCACTTACCAGCTGTGCCCTTGAATAAATTATACGCCCCTTTGCACCTCAGTTCAACCATCTTTAGAATGGTCATTGTCCTGGGTCACTCACAGCCTTTGAAAGCAGGGCTCTCTCAATACCACGATTCCCTAGGGTCTTCTGCTGGTATATTTTGCTTTTAGATCACCGGGTCAAAGTGAGGCTTAAAATTATAGGTAAAATTACGTTAATTTATCAAGCGGCTAGAAGATAAAATACTAAGATATAACACTAATAACAGACAGCAAAGTCAACTAACAACAGGCAATCTTTTCCATATATATCAACAGGCCCACGGATATTTACCATGCAGCAGAACATCATAATTAATGATAACAATGACCTTTAGTTGCCAAGCAAAGATTAAATTATGGCGCAAATACTGATTATTGCATAAAAGTAAGTACTATATTTTATGCACATTTCCATTAAAAGTGGTTCCAATGAAAACATTTTGGTATTTAAAGGCTAAGTGTCAATTATCTGGAAAATTCCTTTTCATGGAATAGATTATTTCCTGATGCCAGAAAATGAGATGTAATAACTGATAACATAATATGAGAAGACATTATGGGCAATAATAGTTTCATCTGAAAATTGGCTGTAATACCTAGAATCTTTCACAAAAACTCTCAGAAGCCTACGAGCTCCCAAGTGCCATTTATAAATTTAAAGAAAAGAAATATTCTTTGTAAGTCCTGATTACCTAGAAATGCCATCATAAAGTCACAAGGAAACCAACAAACTGGCCTTAGATAGCCCTCCTTCTTCCAAATATCCTGTTTCCTGATACCAGGTAGGAAGCATTTTCCCGAGTTTTTCAACTGTTACATTTCTACCCACCTATTATATTTATTCTAATCTTCTCTTCATATTTCCTATTCCTGAGTCCTAAATCTGGGCATTTCCTGAGCCGTAGGAAATTCTGCATTTCTCTTGGCCTTCTGCATTTCTCTATAAATACTTCCTCCTGTGGAAAAGATCCCATACACTGATATTTTCAATCGCTGATTCTTCGTGGATGACTCACACACTTACATATTTGGGCAGAGCCTCTTTTCCTTCAGCTTCAGTCCTGTACTTCCAACAACCCACTAAAAATTTTCTTTTAGGTGGTTCACTGCCATCTCAAATTCTACAAATCTTTTTGAGCTCTAAGCTCATTTTTGCTTTAAAACCAGCTCGCCCTAAGGCTATCCCTTTTCAGTCCGAATTTCCCAGGCCGAAGGAATTGGGAGTCCCCCCACTGACGCCCCCGAATTCTTTTCTCCCATCATCATTCTCAGGGACTGTCCAATTATTGTAACCTTGGTCTTTCTGCTCTCCCTTTTACTATCCAACACCACGCCTACCGTGTCTGTGGTCCAGACTACCCTGTACACTTTTGCTTGGCTAGTGGTTCTAAAACATGGCTTGGAACATTTGTAATTCCACCGTTCATCCCCGACACAGTTACTGAGCGCTTACGTCATACAAAGCACAGCGTCACACAGGCAAGATGCAGGAATGAATCAGGTAAAGGTCTGGGTACCGCCTGGCAGGGGAACGACTTGCACATAAGTAATTTCAGCTCTACGTCAGAAAGTGGTAAGAACTGAACGAATACATGAAAGTTTAGTGTTATGGGCAAAGGGCGAATGGAAGGGGAACAGGGGAAAATAAAGTTAAGAGTTTTGAATCCATGTTACTAAATTGGGGGAGGGGTGCTGGGGGGTGGAGGGATTAAGCAAAAAGGAAAAACACAGAAAGATGAATAAATGAATGAATTTGGCCTTTAATCTACAGGCAACAGGGAGCCCGCAAAGATTTCAGATCGGAGCTGTGCTACCCTTCGCCAAGGTTGTGGGTTCGACTCCCAGCCAGAGCACATACAAGACTCAACCAATGACTGCACAGGTAAGTGGAACAACAAATCCACGGTCCTCGCTCTCTCTCTCAAGTCAGTAACTACAATTTTTTAAAAAGAAAATGATTAAACCTATGGCAGCTGCATGTAAGACGGGCTGGTCGGGGGACGCGCCGGAGGAAAGGCATTGCGTCCCCACCGTGGCGGGGAATGATCACGGGAACCCGGATTCGGTGGCGGCGGCAGCGGGGGCCGGGCGCGAAGGTCGGACTTCCCGCCGCGGGGGAGCCGACGGAACTGAGTAACTGCCGAGCGCCAGGAAGGGAATAAACGGCGGCCCGTCCAGGCATCCAGGTGTCCCCGCCGGAAACTGGTGGTGGTACACACACAGACGGGCGCCGAGTCTGGGAGTGATTCGGGCGCTAAGAGGCCAAGCCATATTTGGGGTGCTCGGCGTGTATATACACCTGCGGAACGTTTGAGGAGAAAGTGGCCAAGACGCTCGGCGGCAGCTCGGCGCTGACGAATGAAGCTGGAGGGGAGAGGGCGTGTGTTTGGGGGAAAACACGTACGAAACGGGCTCTGGAACTCTTACTGCCGCGGCCTGCCCTGCAGGAGGTCAAGGTGCCGCGTCGCTGAGGTGATCCGCTCGCGCTACTCTCCGCGGCCTCTCTCGCCCCGCGTTTTCCACAGACCTCGGGAGCAGGCGGCCGGAAGCGGCCTTTCCCTCCCTTCTCTGCATCTTTGCAGGACTTCCGTCTCTACTCGTCACCGGCTCCAAGCCAAGGGGACTTAATAGACGGCGACGTCTTTTCCTGCAGGTATCAGGTAGGCGTAAAGCGCGCTCCGACGTTAGCACCCCTGTCTGGAAAACTGGAAAAGCGCCCCACGCCGAACCCTAGGTATCGCGAGACTCGACAGGCCCGCCTCTGCGTAGCCTGCCGGAAGCGGAAGTCAGGGGGTTGTCGGATTCTGACAGTAGTGGCCCCGTTACCTTGGAGAGGTGGGGTGGCGTGGCGTGGCGTTGGAGCGGCGCGTTGGGAGCCAGAGGTGGGTTTCCTGCGCGTTTCGTCGGCAGGGCTCGGCCCAAGCTGAGTAGACACCCATTTGGGGGGGTGATGTGCCCGTTTCGGGGCCGCGGAGGAGGGAGACCGACGGGCAGAGCCGAGCGGCGGGCGAGCTGTCCTCGGTCTGCGGCTCCGGGTCTGGGCGCGTCCGCGAGGTCGGAAGCCCCTTACCTTTCACGGCCTCTAGTTTCCTTGGCACCCGAACATTCGGAAGGGAGCGAATTGCCAAAGCCTTGGCAGACCAGCTCTGATGTGCTTTGGGAGCGGGCTGAAAATCGCGGTGGTCTCCAGTCCTTACCTCCCTCGGTCCTCTGGGCTCACCTCCTGGGGCAGCGAAACCGGACTCTGGTTAGTCCTTTCCACGGTTAGTCGCCTGCAGCCGGAGTTCTGTGTGGTGTTATTCGTGGTCAATAAACTAATGTTCTAGTGCAAATCTGAAAGGCTGCGCCCTTTTATTTCAGCGAAAAGACCATACCCTGTGAAGCTGTTACTCATGCTGGAACTAGTTTATTGGTTCTGAAGGCCCAGAGGCCAAGTCTTTGTATCGTTTTCTAGCTCTTCGCTGGCACTTTCGAGCACTCTTTCAAATTAGCGGCGGAAGGTTTTGGAACACATTTAATCCAACCCCTGCATTAATTTAAGCCCTTCTGTCCCCTACCTGCCTCCCCCGCCCCTTTCGAGGGTTTTCTTGAAGGTGGTTTTTTTACCCTCCCACAGATCTAGACAACTTAACCCTGAAGCAGTACAGCTTCAAATCCCCGCGGTAAGTAAAACTTAAATCAATAAAAAATATATTTATTTTTATTTTAATAAAACAAAAAAATTAAATTTATTTTATTTAAATTTATTGAGGTAACGTTGGTTAATAGCATTCTATTTAAATTTCATTCTCATGAGTAATGATAAATATATTTACTTGTGGGATGGTGATGTGGGAGAACATAAAAATAGAATAGCGCATCTGCCTTGCGTTGTGGTATGTACTGCCCATCTGGCTAGGTATGGGCCATCCTTCCGGTGATTTCTGTGATCCCTTTAGAAACTCAAGCTCGAACTTTAATTAGCAGAATTTATTTTAAACCATACCTTGGATCTGAGACTTTGACAGCAGTTTGCCAATCCCAGGCACATGGAAAGTCTGCTATTTTCAATAAGGCAAAACTCTCTGAGCAGTAGTCTGAAAGGAGAAACATCTAGATGTTGTTTCTTGCATCCAAACAATAATCTCAGCTTAATTTTGTTGGGATGAAGGTAGTATTGCAAATATTTGCATGTTTTGAGGGATTTGGAGGAAAGACAAACTAGTGAAGCAGTTCTCTTCCGACATCCCATCTCCTTGTCAAAAACTTTTTAAAATACAGGAAGAAAAATAATTTGGGGGATGTCCGATAAGAGGGAGATTGGTTTTAAAGTGCTAGCATGATGGCACAGGTGCCCCAAATCAGAAAACAGGTTTTAGGAGTGTGGACGCAAAGAGCAAAAAGATGGGTTTGGGCGAGGAAAGGTAGGGGAAGGGAATACGGACCAGTGTCTGATCAGGAAGACGAAGAGGTGGGTTACCTCCGGAACACGGCTGTGGTTGGCTTCCAGGATTTGGGTGAAAATGGAAAGAGGTGAACTCTGTACCCTGGTTTTTCGAGAGTTAGGCCCCTGTGGCCTAAGTCAAATCTTTTCTTAGATGTAGAGGGCTCCCTGGAACTGTCAGTGAAGGAATACTACTTGTTGCGTGAATTCATAATGGTTCTAAAAAACCCGCTGATAGAGATTTGTTTTTATAGCCATTACAATATTTATAGTAGTTATTTTTCATTCATCACAGAATCTGGAGTAAGAATACATTGGATACCATTATAAAATACTCTATAGACTGTTTTGGTTTTTTTTTTAAATTGGCTCTTTTTTCTCCTTTAAGCAATGTCACGTATTTTATTCTGGGCATACCTAAAATTGTGTACTTTCTTGGTTTTTCATGGGTAAAATACTGTTAATTTTTTTTTTTAATTCTAATAGAAACAAAAAGTGTGCAGAATTTCAGAATGACTGATACTTCTGAAGCTGTTCCAAATTTTGAAGAGATGTTTGCCAGTAGATTCACAGAAGATGACAAAGAGTACCAGGAATACCTGAAACGCCCTCCTGAGTCCCCTCCAATTGTTGAGGAATGGAGTAGCAGAGCTGGTGGGAACCAGAGAAATAGAGGCAATTGGTATGTATTCCTTGCAAAGAATGAATTGCAGATGGCTGGCCTGGGAGAGAATAGCCTCAGTCTGCTAGCCCAGAAGACCACTGAAGGCAGGGACCAATGTTTTTGTTCGGTGTGGTACACCTAGTGCCTGGCACAAATTAAGTGGCTGGTAAATATTTAACATTTTGTCAGCCACGTATTTTTTTCTTTACTGTTCAATTGTGTGTATGTGTGTTTTATTTTTATTCTTTACCATTCTTTCTGTGGACTAATATTTTATCTGCAAATATACTTTTAAAAACCTAGAGTCTTCTACAAAATTTTGTTTAAAATTCCATAAAGAAGGTAATGTTTTTGGTTTTACTTTAGAAAGTTTATATGGTAGAAGTTATTTCTATTTAATAATTCAAAGTAGATAAAAGGAATAAATCACCAGTTTGTTTTTACAATAGTCTTTAGTTTGATTCAGAACTATCTCATTGTTTTGGGTTTGGTGTTGTAGTCTGCCTATTTCTCTGCAAACCATGTCCAATATAACAGTGAAAGAATGATTTAAATCTTAGGAATGTTTTTGAATAACTGTTGCTATAACATTCTATAGAGAAAAATGGTTTTCACTCTTGTTTACTGAGTAGTCAGTTGAGAAATCAAATGCAACAGGATGGAAATGGATGTGTTTTCTTAAAAGGGAAATTAAAAATTTTCTTGTTTTGTTGTTGTAGGTTGCAAGATAACAGACAATTTAGAGGCAGGGACAGCAGACGAGGGTGGCCAAGTGACAATCGATCCAATCAATGGCATGGACGACCCTGGGGTAACAATTACCAGCAGCACAGACAAGAACCCTACTACTCTCACCAGTACGGACACTATGGTTACAACCAACGGCCTCCCTATGGTTACTACTGATAGCAATGTCAGCAGCTTTTAGTAAAACTGTCTACTTTGTTAACAAGACAAACATTTGTGGGTATCTTCTGTTGGTCATAATTTTACATCAGGTTTTACAAAACACGTTAATTTTTTGGAACTTGAGACATTTAAGATCTTACTGGAGAGAGGTGATGGTTGCTGGGTTATGTTGCTTAACTTCTACCTCAGATTCTTTGTTTCATGACTTAATAGTGCTTTGAACTTTGTGTATCTTTTCCTTGTTTGACCTTCAGTTCTGTCTTTGTTTTACACAGAAATAAAGTAGAAATTTTAAAATAGAAAATGCTTGCTTTTCCTTTTTAATATGAGGAAATATTTGGAGGTGCTCATTGCTACAGTTTCACAGAGGTTGGTAAAATCAGCTCATGAATGCACAACTATGCTTAGTTGTACTGTATTGTACATTAACATCAGCAGGTGGAAGGTAAAGTTGTTGTAGTCTATTTCTTTTTTGGCTCTTGTTGTTATGTAACTACAGTCCTTTGTAATTACTCTATAGGTATGAGTCAGCTCCACAATCATTTTGGTCTCTTTTTAGAAGAATATCAAGAATAAAACCGTAAAATGAGGAAGGAATCATTCTCAGTTCTAGTGTCGTGATCTAAATGGTGGGTGGGATTAGGGTTCACAATCATTTTATACAAACTCTAAGGCTTTTTGCTAATGGAAACATAGTAGGTCAAAATGCACATTACACAAAAGTATGAGGAAAACTGTAATGTTCCCCTTTCCTTTTCCCTCATGTGTGATTAATGCTGCATTATTTGACTCTACTTACTTTTATGGTACTTAATGTGGGATGATTTTACAATGTGATATTCACTTCCAATTGTGCACCTTGGCTGCTTTTATCTTCTATAAATACTGTGATGCTACAACTCCCTTTCAGAGTGATCATTGTATTTCAAATAGTTTTAATGGCCATCAGAATGGTTTTATTTAAATAAAACACAATATTAATCAATTTCTCCCTCTTGTTTCAGCAGTTAGCCTATTCAGTAATGTGGTAATAGGAGCGTTATGCTTCTTTATTACTGTCCTTCGTATCAAGTGAAAAAGGTTTATTTGATTTAAAAATAGTATTAAGAGTACGCATGTCATCATGGGCCAAAGGAATCACAGCACAACTTCCGCCACCTGCCTTCTCCCTTGGCGCTCCATGCTAGACCCTTGACCTCTCCAGGGACTGTTCCATGCTCTGGACCCAGCTCTCCCCCGCTTCCAGGAAAGCCATCCTTCCACGTAAAACTTTTTTTGGGAAGGATCTAATAAAACTATTCACACTCAGATGTAAATAAAAATGAGTTTCCTCTACCCCTCTACTTACATTAATAGACAACCATAAGATAGGTCATAGCACTATTTAGCCCAGAGAGTTAACAATGGTCTGGCTATACCCCAGCATCTTCTCTAAAAGCAGATGGGTTACTGTGGGGAACACTTAAAAAAAGTTTTTAGGAAACTCAATTAAAACGTCTTTGTTATAGTTTTGGTTGGCTTAGATAATAAATCTAATCAAAATGTTCGGACAGATAAGAAAATAAAAGCAAATGGGTTATTAAAAATACTTATGAACTGATAGAGCTCAGGCACTACCAAGCAGGACAGTAGCTGACCACCGCTTTACAGCAGGACCCTGGAGCGCTCTGCTATGTCCACTTCTGACACTGATTAGGGAGCCCCAGAGGGGCAGGGGCAGGGGCAGGGTGGAAGTGAGAGACGTGCCTCTCAGAAAGCTCAGGAGACAGATGATTTTGCAACAATATTTAAATATTTTAACACTGATAGAATAGGGTACCTACGGCCTGACTACCAGCCCTGCTTAAAAATATAGTAAGAATCTTCCCTTTAACATGAGTTATTTCTGTATTTTGCATGAGTTATGTGCCGGTGGGTTTGTGGGGTTTTTTTTAAATTTTAATCTTTTTTTTAAACAGCAGTCACTATCAGGCTGCCCATTACGAGCCCAAAGCCAGGAAGAAATAAAAGACATGGTTCCTGCTTCATGCACAGACACAGAATATAACATAAAAAAAAGTAATGATAATTTAAGAGAAAAAATGGTTCAAGTGGAATTAATCTCAAAAATAGACAGTCTGTCGTAATAGCATACAGCATTAAGCATAAGAAGTCATGGCTCCTAGTTCTGTCCTTGAAGGTGTATGACCTTGAGAAAATCACCGAGTTGATTTGTTCACCTATAAAAATGGGGATATTACCTACCCTGCCACTCACACAGGGTTGTAAAAATAAATGAGCAATCGCACAAGAGCTTGACACTCAAAACTAGGAGTTGTGACCATTAAACCCGGGGTAGCACGTAACTGATGCTGCAAACATTTGCTGAAGCAACAGGAGGAAAGTATTTGGTAAAATGTAAAGCACAGTGTTCATACACACAGTGTTCATACACACAGTGTAACTGATAGAAGATGAGGTAGGCAGGAGACTTAGTGAGAAGGAGTTGTGATTGTTTCCTTACATGAATTAAAATATGAATTACCATACGAATTTAAGTATGAATGAGGAGTCACCAGTGCTATCAGACTGGAGAAGTGGAGATGAGCTTTTAAAATACATCTTGGATTTTAAGATTTACAGGACAGTGTGAGAGAAGCAGGTTAACAATTCTTCCACCAAAATAA